CAAAAACAGCGTGGCACTTTTTCCTGGATTTTTTTTTCTCTCACATTTGCAGTGCAGTCATTAGATGAATCATTTTTGCACTGTCCCACTTAACTCTGAGGTCGGTGTTAGCTGTCTCGCTCTTTTGAATTAATGGCAGCTGAATAATGGATCCATGTGTGGAACCAGGTATGTAAACTCATTTGTTCACCAAGAGACAAGCAGTTAACTCCTGACATCTGACTTACACCCCCTGATGTGTGATTGATTATCATACATGCAGAAGTAATAACTTCAATCAGCAATAACACAAACCTAAAAGGAAGAGTAAATTGCAGTCCCTTTCAAATATATTCACACCCCTTTGAACTTCTTCAAACTGTGCGACATTACAGTGACGACTATGTTATTAGGATTTTGATGACAGACCAATACAATGTGGGACGTTAACAGAAGATGGAAGGAAAATGACAGAGGGGTTTGATGGTTTTTAACAAATAAATGCAAATCTTTCTGGTTTCCTCTGTCTGGCATCCCTCTCCCAGATGTCTCTATACTTGCCTCTGATTAATCCCTCTGGTTCTCATATCAATCCCAATCTCAGTATGTATAGCTCTCTTTCTTCATTGTTCTCTAATGGCTCATTCTGCGATCTGCTCCGTATTAACCCCTGTGATTTATCCTTCTGTCCCTGGTGTTTTGCTGCCTGTCCAGATCTCTGTGAGGTTTTTCACTAAATTATGCGCTGAATGTTCTTCCCAAGCTCTTTAGAGGCCTGAAAAGGTCTAAAAAATAATTAAAGAGTTCTTTTCACAACAGAGAAAGATTTCAATGGTGCCAATAAATTGAGGCACTGACTATTTTTAAAAGGTCAAAGAAACTTAAATGTCAATTGATCCCTTTCATTTCGTATGTCTGACTTTTTAAGATAAAGAAAGAGAACATAAGCAATCTTTGTTTTGTATGCCTTTACATCTGTGTGGGTGCATGTGTGTGTGAGTGTGAGTGTGTGTGTGTGAGTGAGTGAGAGAGAGAGAGAGAGAGCAAGAGGAAAAGAGTGATTTTGATGAATGTGTCTTGACGGATGGTGTAACCCCCCCTAACCTCCTCCAGCTCTCCTGTCACGGCCAAATATGGAGGTCAGTCAACCTCTTACAGCTGCTCCCCAGTGCAAGGGCACAACTCACAAACTCAATGGCATGCCTACAGGTGGGGTCACTGTTTTCATTCATCCAGTCAATTGTTGGGAGGGAAAACTGAGACAGAACATGAAAATTACAAACAAGATTTTTACTACTCTCTTTTCAGTCTCAGTTTTATTTGGAGAAACATATTGACAAAACGTGAAGCTCCTCTTCCTTAAGCCCTCTGGGATCTTTTCCTTTATGCCCTTCACAGGTTGACTTGGACACAAAATATCATCTTTTCCAAATTGCCATAAAAACAATATTGATCGCCCCATTTTTAATCCTTTTTATGTCTGTCCTCGCCATACGTAACAATCAGCTGTGACATATTCTCAATTTTAACCCATCAAATGCTTTCTATGGCAATACAAGTTACTCTTTATTTTAGAAAAAGCATGACAAGTGGATTATTTCGCATTCGGTTCGGAGAAATGAGATTTTGCAGGTGGGTATTATCTGAGCCAGAGTGTCAAACATAAAATCTGAATAATATCTGTTTTTTGTGTTGAAGGTTGTTTATAATTAAACTTTTCCTAAACCTTAGGATGTAAAAAATGCTTTTCAGAGAAACATTATGGAACAAAATTTATTTATTTTTTTTCAAATCTGTTCTACATTAATGCCATTATTAAAGTTTTCCCTGTAAGGTGTGTGACAAATGCTAGTGGAAACTGTGATGGACTGTTTGCTAAGAACCAATAGATTTATTCATATTTTTTGTTGGGTGCGGGTTTGTAATCGAGTCTTTGTCATCAGAAAGATTACAAAGATTTTAAAGGTATTTCAGTGACATAAATTCCATCAACAGCAGTCAAATTGCAATGGTAATGTGGTCAAAAGTGCATTTCTAATGTGAGTCAATGGCATTGAAATGTTAGAGGGACACATACTTGGTTTTAAAACAAATACCAAAGTGCAATTTACCTGCACAACAGTTCACTATGGAGTATCAAAAGCTATCTCAACAAAACGCATCAGATTTATAATGATAATCTGACAACATTTCAAAAGATCAGAGGGGGTTTGAAACATTTGCAAAGCACTAGAAGCTGCAGAACCACACGTGTACAAATGTAGCTATGAAAAGAAAATAATTCCCCAGTGCTCTGTTGTTTAGTTGCAACCCAATGTGCTTTTTGCTGAGAATTGGTCCACTTGCCAGTTTCTGACAGAAACAACGGGCTCAGCTGAACATTCCCCCAACCCTCATCATCGTCTTTTCCCATCAGAGAAACGCTGATCGGTTAAAGAACGGGAGTGAAAATGGAGGATAACCTCCTCAGGGCTTCAGTTAACAGGCTTTCCTCTTAATGTCGTTTTGCCAATGATCAGGGAAAATTACCTATTGTCATTGAGTCAAGGACCATTTACTCATCAGAGCCTAAATTGCATTGCTCTTGCTCAGTTGTTATACATGAGTGATAACATTAAGATTCTCAGTTTGCAAAGTTACGTTTCCTTATACTGAGTTTGACCAGCTGCTTGGCAAAATCTAAACACATCTTCATCACAGGCTCTTTTAAACTTCCTCTCAAAAAACATTCAAAACTACTGTATTTAAAATGGCTGATACATATAAAATTAATTGAATACTAATTTGAATACTATCAAAGGACATAGAAAGAGGCACTTAAAACTCTATTTTTCAGCATCCTTGACAAAGACGTGTGAAATTCTTTCAAATAAAAAAAATTTTTTTATAGCAGACATGACATTATTCAGATTTATTTTTTTATTATTATTATTATTTTTTAGAAAAGTCTAACTTTTATTTTGTCAAATTAAATCACCAGACCAAGAATTAAATATTTATGGGAAATCATTTCATGGTGTATGATAATAGCATTGGCCACCTTGCATATAAAACATAGCCACAGTTGAAAGGATTGTTTTCACTTAATTGAGTCTCCTGTCCACCCATTGATTGTCCCTAGCTGTCCCTTGTTTCTCCTGTTTCTCCTAATCCCAGCTGTATGCCTTGGTCTTGCCTTGTCTTGCTGTCTTGTTGTCTATTGTTTACCGCTTGCTACCAGTTTTGAGCCTTAGCCTTCCGCTCATTCTGTGCTGCCTGGATTTTGGACTTTTGATTTGTATTTTCACCATTAAATCCCCATTTATTCTCTACTACCTGGGTCCTCTGTGTCTGCCTAACCACATTCATAACCCTTCTTTACTGATCCATCTATTTGCATAATCCAATCTTGTAAAATACCATGGAGAAAGGATGAAGTGTTGTCCTGTTAGCTTTTGTGAAGTTTATAAAGCTCTAATGCTCTGTTATTTATCTGGGTTCTGCCTCAGGAGCTAGAAAGAGTTACCCATGTAAATATGCACAGTGAGAAGCGCTGTATGTGTGTTTGAGAAAGGGAAAAGGTGCCATATAGAAAAAAGCAGTACATTCAGTTTAAAAAAACAAACGAGAGAAAAGACAGATTTAAAGGGTGAAATTATTTTTGATAATTATTTGCCCTGTTTTCTTGTTAAACAGGAACATGTTGCAGTAAATGCGCCTCCTGAGGGTATGCAGAACTGCAAGATAATCTCTGTGCCTGAATGCACAGATTTGGCTCATCTCTTTGCAGATGCAATAATTAGGAGTCAGTACCTTGTGATTTCTTTGTCTGTGAGGCTTGTTTTCTGAATAATTTTGCCAAAACTTTGAGCGTAAGACTTCTCGTCACACCAGAGCACAAGGAAAATAGGAAAGCAAAAAATTTAAAGCAGCATTGTTCAGAATGGCTGCAACATATTTGCAGTGGAAATCAGGCTCCACTTTCTCCAATGGCATAGAGATTTCTATTGCAGGGTTTCACGAAGACAATGCCTTGTAAAAACTGCACAAAGGAAAAACAAATGCTAATTCTGCTTTGTGGTGGCATTAAAAGAGCAACTAGAATTGAGCTGATCAGCTTGTATTAGAAAATACTGAGGACGATGAGCAACTTTTGCCAGATTTCAGTGTGGATTCTGAAGTTCTCCAGAGAGTCACGGGTTTGAGCCAGAATTTCTTGACCACTGAGCCAACATGGACAATGGCATGGATACTTAAGCTAAAGTAAACGGTGACAATCTCAATGTTCACTTTCACAGTTTTACCTGATCACCATATTAAAGTTTGGCTTTTTACATCCAATCAATTTTTTTAGCATATTTTTTTTTCAAGAAAATACTGGGTTCTGCTTGTATTAGACAAAATAAAACAAATAGAGTAGCTACAGTAATTTAAGCTGCACACTTATATCATCTCCATCTCTGACTGCTGAGCAAACGTATTTTCTTTTTTTTTTTTGTTCTTTCCTCTGAATATAATGATACCAATGGAACAAACTGTGCTGTGAGGTAGGATGGGGTTGTCTGTCTAACCTGCCTGACAATTGATTTAGACCTAAGTACCAGGAAATGCCACTGGAAAATGAAATTTGAAATACAGAATTTTAAGGAACCCATTGACCATATATGTATGTATATACAGCTATGGAAAAAACATTAAGAGTCCACTGCATTGAAACCTCCTGGTTATTCCACCACATATTGATTTCTGAACTCTTCCTGAGTTAAAACGTCAGTATTGTTGTTTCTAAATGAATATGAACTTGTTGACCATTTCTCATGTTCTGCAAGTAAATGCTACATTTTTGCTTGGAATTTCAGACGTGTTGTTAATAAAATAAAAGAACTAAGTTCATCTTACTCAAACATATGCCTATAAACAGTCAAATGAGAGAAATTGATCATTTGAAGTGGTCTCTTCACTTTTTCCAGAGCTGTAAGTATAAACCAATAGTTTTGTCTTTATGGAAAACAATCCTGCAGGAAGATACTCATGCGCTGTACTCCACTCTGAATGACAACCTTTTATTTTATTAGACAAATTATGACACACTTCACCATTAAAATGGACAGTAAATACATTCAGATGAGGTCATCAGGATGTGGATGCGATATCCAGCTGTGCTGTCCGATTGGTTTCAAGTAATGTCTGGGAGACATTTCATTATTATCGTTTCTTTTTCTTTTCATCTTTGAGTCTGATCAGACAGAGTTAGCTCTGGCTCACAGAGCTGAAACGTTACACAAGTTTTGGCCTCTGTGTGAAGTTAAACATCGTAGAAAATAACTCTAACAATAGCAAACAATTGTTATTTCAAGATGTATGAGAGATTCCAGCACACGCGGGCTTCCTCAGTGCATCCTTCACATTAGATTTTGTGCTTTTGCCTTTCTATTAAAAAGCCTGTGGCAGCTCAGATTAAAGTGTCCACATGTCCTGAGCGCATGTGCTAAAAAGAGTCACCTGGGAGGTTGGTGTGGCGAAACGCTTCAATAATGCATTTTGGCATCAAGTAACTTAAACTCTACAGGACACATTCCTTGCATGTCTCAAATCTCTTTGTTCACCAGGCTGTAAGGCGCTAAATCGACTGCATTGGACTGTTTTAGTCACACTGTCTTGTAAGGCTTCCCTCAGCTTTCATGCTCAATGGAAAGGTGGGCACTGGGTCCGTTTGATGGTTAGTAAAGAGGCAGAAAGTCCCCTTTGTGAATCGTCAGAGTAGACGGACGTTACGTACACTGGCGCACCGAGTAAAGCCTTTTAGTCAGCAACACTGAACCTATGAACAAAGGAACACAGACTTTAATTGTCAAGTAAATAAACATCTACACGTCACGTTTGTTTTTTTTTGTTTTCAGAACAGGACAACAACATCACGTTTTATAGATGATGTAAAGCCATAGCTAGGTGGTCTATCGTGTTTACGGGAAGGTCATCAGACCCCACCACTGCCCATGCCTTGGTGCTCAGTCGCTCAGGGAACCCCTATGTTGCATCCCACTCCAATGGAGAGGGGCTTCTGGGAAAATTAACGATGATGGAAGCATCAGAGCCGGCCCACGGCAGGAAATGCAGGAGCTTAGCTACCACTCCAGTCCGCCTCAGGGCTCCTAATAACACATAAGACCAGAGCGGAAGTTGACAGATGTGGACTTATAAAAAAAAAAAGAAAAGAAAAAAACATCTACAATGCCTTACTTTTGTCCCTTGCAAAAGTTTACATACCTCTTGAATCTTTCCAGATTTCTCAACATCAAAATCACCAGCATTGATCTCATTTTTTGGGATTTTATGTGATACACCATGACAAAGTATGAAGTGGTTGGGAAATATGGCATGGTTATACTTTTCATGTAATTTTATGTAATTTATATATTTGTAAATCTAAAATGTGTGGATTTGTATTCAGGCCCCTGAAGGTGGAGGGATGCACTCTTCACGATCACACCACCATGTTTGCTTCTTTATCGTCTTTGCCCATTTATAGATGGACATTTTTGCATATACTTCTTAGAATAGCGAAGTAGCTGAAGCTCAGTCAGATCGCATGGCAAGCATCAGCGAACAGAAATTGTCAGGTCTTATTTTCTATATTGGATTTCAGTGTGAACTTTGATCTCTGATCAGTTAAAAACATAAACACGCTTTCATCTACACCATTCTTCTGCTCGTCTGTTTAAGGTCACTTCTTGCTGAAAGGCAAGCCTCATCCCCAGTTTCATGTCTTTTACAAAGTTTTAGTAATTTTTTTTTTTTAGTATTGCCCTATTTGTGTGCCAAATGACTGCCAGTTCAACACATTCCCTCCCCTGAGCTGTAGATCTCTGAAGCTCCTCCAAAGTTGCCATAGTCCTGCTGGATGGTTCTCTGATCTCATAGCTTGTGAGTTTAGTTTAGGTATAAGCTATTTTAATACCTCAATTTTGATCTCATTCCCACAAAAGAAAATTTGTCTTGAGCTTTCCCACCTACTGGTAAAAACAGGGTGTTATTTTCACTTGTAGAACTTTATTACACGTTGATTTTGTTTTATTATGACTTGAAGAAATGTGCTTTTACTTAGACAAAAAAGGTCAATTGAGTGATTCTAAACGATCAACCCACATAATATTTAAGGGCCAAGTAACATAGAAATTAAAGAAGTTAGCCTTTCCTTTAACAGTTATCTTTAAACACAGGACTAATCTCTGCATAATTTAAGGAGCTAATGACCTATACATGTCCAGCACACACTGCAGGCTCTTTGTTTAGTTGCACTGGTATTTTGGTGAGTTTGCAGCTGTGTGATGCATTTTCCATTTTCAGATTAAGATCTAAGATGTCCAAAGCTTGCCGTTCTGTTTTATAACGTAACGCTAAGCTTCTACAGCTTTTTACCTGATTTGACAGCTGTGTTCATTGGTCTTTGTGAAAACCGGGACTTTCACTGAGATTAAATTCCAAATAGGTGGACTCTCTTTACTATTTGGGTGATGTCCGGTGGAATTTTATTTTATTTATTTTTTTGCATTTAAATATTTTTGTTTTGATTGACCACATAAAATACCAATTAAATGTGTCTCTAATGTGACAAAATGTAAAAAAAAAAAAAAAGTTCAAAGGTTGGGATTTCTTCTGCAAAGGCACTGTAGCTACTTTGATCAGACTGCCTGAGCACATTTGTTCCACAGTGTGTTTGCCCAGTGTAAATACCTCGCTTTTTACCTTCAAAATTAATTAATTCAAACAATTTTAAGGTTCATGACTTTGTGTTCCCATAAATCTCTATGAACATTTTGAATCTGAGGCTGTCCTTTGATTCTCTTGGCCCAGCTCTGATTGTTTACCCTCCAGCTGATAAAAATCTGAAATATCAATTTAAGGATTTGTTGTATTTGCTTGTTGTCCTTGTTTGTTTCTATTTCTGCATTTGAACCAAGATGCTCCAATGTGGAATTTAAACAACTATCGATCACGGACAACATAAAATCGCAGCGCTTTAGTTGCTGATGGATGTTGAGCTTAATCAGACGTGGGCCTCCGAATCAAATTCTGCCCAGGGCCCCATGTATCTTTGGGCCGGCTCTGAGAATCGCCAACACACCCAGTGACGCACCGTGTGGAGTCAGTGTAATCCGTTTGGAGTGAAAGGTGACAACCTGTCCAGACTGATGTCCGCCTCGCAGTCCTCCAAGTCGCACACGGAGTCTGTGGCGTTGTCGTTGTTGTGAGAAAACTGTGAGATCCTGTCGAACGTCTCCTCGTGCTCCATACATTCGACCACGTTGGGGATCATGTTGACGTACGCGCTGGCGATCTCCTTGTGGATGATCGTGTCCTGGTTGTAGGAGACCAGCTCGTTGCTGATGTTCACCGTCTCCACGGGTGTGTTGGAGCAGAAGTGGCGGCAGCCCAGGAGGCTGGCGAAGGCCTTCCTGAACTCATTGTTGAAGGCGTAGATGATGGGGTTGAGGGACGAGTTGGCCCAACCAAACCACACGAAGACGTCAAAGGTCGTCTCGCTGACGCACGGCAGGCCCGCGTCCCGGTCCGCAGCCGGCTTGTTGCAGAACGGGACCATGCAGTTCAACACGAAGAAGGGCAACCAGCAGCACACGAAGACGCCCATGATCACCGAGAGAGTTTTAAACACTTTGGTTTCCCGTTTGATTGAAGTTTTCAGCGTGTTGTGGTGTTGGCACTCTATCCTGTTGCTTCGGCAGCTTTGCGCGTGCTCCGCCGCTCTCTCCAGGGACGCTATTCTTCTGATCTGGATCTGAGCAATCCGATATATCCTGGTGTATGTTACAATCATGATCGCCACGGGAATATAGAAACTTATGAGCGAGGAGGAGATTGCGTACTCTCGGCTCAGGCTGGAGTCGCAGTTTTCCTCCAGCTGCCGACTCGCGGAGGAGTTGTGCGCTCCGGCCAACCCGTCGGCGGCGGCTTTGTGCCAGTTCAGCTGGACCGGTATGAATGAAATCAGCACGGACAGTGTCCAGGTGACGCTGATCATGACAAAGGCGACCCGCTGGGTCATTTTCCTCTCGTATCGAAAGGGGCTGGAGATGGCCCAGTACCGGTCCACGCTGATGATGCAGAGGTTGAGGATGGACGCGGTGGAACACATGATGTCGAAGGCGACCCAGACGTTGCAAAAAGTGCCAAACGGCCAGTATCCGGCCACTTCTGCCACAGCCTTCCAGGGCATCACCAGCACGGCCACGAATAAATCCGACAGAGCCAGGGACACAATGAAGATGTTGGTGACTTTGGTCCGCAGGTGGCGAAAGCGCAGCACCGCGGAGCACACCAGGATGTTCCCCAGCAGAGTCCAGAGGATGAGCAAGGACAGCAGGCAGCCGGTCACTGTGCGCACCACCATATCCTTCCCCCCGTCGTCTGTCGCCTCCGTTTCAGTGCTGTTCCACATAATCTCTCCGAGGGGCGCCGGCACGGAATCGATCCCCTGCACCGAAGAGAGATACCTGGCCGGGTTCTCCATTTCCCCCCCCAACCCCCACCACCACCACCTCGTCGCTTCAAGTAAGACTGCAGTCCGTATCTCCGTGCGTGCGGGCGGGCTCAGCTTTCAGCCAGGCGCCGGACTCTCCGCGATGACCCGCTGGACAGCCACCGTGATGCGCAGCGCAGAATAGAGGGAAAGCAAGAGCAGGGAGCTTTGGAATTAAACCAAACGACGCACACGGCGCGCTGAAGGACCCAAAAGCGGCGAGCAAGGGGGGAAGCATATTGGGAAAAACCCGTGTGACCCGTTTTGTCGTGTAACCGGGCTGCTCCTCTGGATCCGTCAGTTCAAGATATTCTGAGCACGGCGAGGACGAGAAGGGAGTCCCTATAGCTTTACTCTCACACACGTCGACGCACGCTCACACGAACATCTAACCAGGTCTTGGCGCATGCACCATTACGCCTTCTTTGTGCGTGGCGTCAACTCACAATTACGCACTGGGGACCAACAAGCTGTCTCGTTGGGACACACCAAAGTACGTAATTAAAGGCTCCACAATAAAAGAAGGAGAAGAAAAAAAATATATTTTCTTTCTTTCTTCTTGTGGACATTCTATGCCTGCTTTATATTTGACGCCATGCAGTGAATGAAACATAAATAAGATGGAGAAGCAGCAACGCGTCCACATAAGATAATCGGGTGCAACTCCGCAAAAGTATTCACACCCGTCAACTTTCCCAATACTTGGGATACTTTGAAACAACAAAATCCAACAGACGTTATTGTAATTACATGCGACAAAACGATCTAAAGCAGTGCGGCAAAGTGTGGCGCTCATTCGCATCCAGCCCGGTTTGCTCTGCTGCACCTAAATCAAATCCAGTCCACGTAAATAGTAAACATAATCACCCTGTGCTGTGGGGTTAAAATCCAAGTAAAACTTCACGTGTTCTCTGGAGACTTAAGATATTTGTTGGGTAACATTGGTAAGCAAAATAAACGGTGTCCCAAGCGTTAGGTATCGCAACAAACCTCTGTTGGAAAGAGTATGCCACAACTGTAAACCGACCAAGACACGACTATCCACTTCCTCTTGACAGGCAGGTGAAGGAGACCACTCTGACGCAGAGATCCGAAACTCTGGTGGGAGAATCTGTCTGTCATCAGAACTTTCCTACAAGCCGCACAGAGAACACGGCAAATGCAATACGCGCTGGTAATTTGAGACCAGTGCGTATGTAACACTTTTTTGTTTGTTTGTTTGTTTGTTTGTTTGTTTGTTTGTTTGTTTGTTTGTTTGTTTGTTTGTTTGTTTGTTTGTTTGTTTGTTTGTTTTTGGCCAACATGCAAAACTGTGTCTGTGGCAGACAAATGGCGCACAGAGAACCATTCCCAGGCTGAAACCAAGTTTTATTTCTAAGAATAATAAATAACCATCTTTAAAAAAAAAAGGTCAAATGATTCTAATAGGCTGTGTGCTCAGTAAAATTACCCGACTGTTCCAACCCAGACTCTGTCCGTGGTGCTGAAACGCAGGCAGGCCGCAGCAAAGAGCATCAGGATGTTGGGAGCACACAAAAAAGCTTACGTTCAAACATATTTTTATCACTATAGTTTAAAATAATCTATCCTTCATTTAATATATCTACATGGTCTATATGGGCTGCCATTTCGACACTTCAGTGTGCCGGAACATATTTCTTGCACTATTCCTGATCCCAGGTGCTTGTTTATCCCCCTCTAACAGTCCCTGACTGGAGGTCAAAGCTCACCCTCTTCAGGGACTTTTCTTTCCAAAGCCGATGAGTCACACACTCGCCACTCATCGTGGCTTGCAGAGCGAGGAGCGCCGCGTCGACAGCGCAGCGGCAACATCGGCGCGGCTTCCGCCTCGGAAACGTCACGGTTATTTTTAGACGTGTCTGAGTGCCTGTCAAATCGTTCAGACACCACGCCGGAATAATCCCCTTGACGTCCGGTGCCAAAGTCTCTTGGAGTAGCCCGAGCCGTAATCTGCGGGGGATCAGGCCACGTCAGGAGGCAGAACGGCGTCCCGTCCAGCATTTAGGACACCTTTGCGCTTCGCAAACGCCACAAGGGCTTCATGCACACGTTCAAGTGTTGTGAAAGAACCTTTGCTTTTCGTCGCTAAAGCTGCAATGGACTGATTTCCTTTTTCAAACAAACGAGAGAAAAAAAAGTACAGAATAGCACAGTTTAAAAATTCAACATGAAAAGAGAAATGTTTGTTTTGAGTTTCTTTTTTTCTGTTTGGACGTGGCTTCAAACTAGATTTGTATTTGTCAAAGGTATTATCGCCGCACTCCTCCCACTTCCCCCTCCCCCTACACACATACACACACACACACACACACACACACACACACACACACACACACACACACACACAAGCGTTTAGTGAAAAGCATACGCTTAAGAAATAAAAGTGGTTCAAACCAGTCTGGCTCCACCCAGTGGTGTGAATGGATACTGCAGCCGGATGTACATCTCACTGCCTCCCTAACAAACCCTTGACTGATGGCAAACAGATTTCAGTTCCAACAAGAAGATGCTCTCTAAACTAAACCCATTGGGTTCTATGCGTGTGTGTGTTGGAAGGTGAACATCCACCATTGTTTGCAGTCTCTAATAATTTCTCTTCAATGATTTCCCTGCGCTCCGGTTCACTCGTCTTGCCACCAACTTTTGCCAACTTCCCTGTCAGTGCTGAAGAAAAGCACTCCCACAGCACAAAGCTGTCGCCACCATGTTTCACTGTGTGGATGGTGTGTTCAGGGTGATGAGGAGGGTCAGCTTCTGTCACACACAGCGTTTTGCATGTACAAGCAGAGTGGTCACACACATTATATTCTTCCACTTCGCAATCGTGCTGCATTTGTCATTTAAAATCCTGATAAAAATTAGGTTTTGCGGTGGTTGCAAAGTGAAGTGGAAACGTTCGAGTGGCATAGGTCCTTCGTAAGACAAAAAAGGGAAAATATAAGTCATAAGTTTGAAAAAGAAAAATAATTTTTTATTGTATGCACAGAATATGTACATATATATTGATGTAATCTCTTGAAGGTACAATTGAATCAAATAGGCAAAAAAAATCACAGCAGCTAAGAGATTTTGATCAGAGTAGCTGTATATTCAGGACTACAGTAAAATGCGAGAATTATTTTTTTGTTTTTTGTTTTTTGTTTTTGTCGTTGTTGCTTCCTTGTTTGTTTCCCACAACTTGGCACATAGAAAACCCAAAAGTATAGCACCAGACTGAGAACTCAATCAGACACCTGAATAAAACTTTCAGCAAAATTTCATGGCAACGTCTTTAGTGCAAAGTTTTGTGATTGTTTTCATTGCATTTTCATTAGTGACAGCACTCATCTGTGGTGACTCGTCATGACAGTAACAATATTTTCTGGTATGAAATTAAAGCAGCGTCTATCCTGACACATGATAACATTGTGAATTTTATCTGGCTCACACAGGGAAACTTTTTTGGCGTAATAATTTAAAATACATGTTTCAATCAGATGAACAGATTGTGGATTTAGAGCGAACAACTCTGACGGCTGAGAGACGAACGAGATGAGAACGAATGTCCAACTAGTAACAAAATGCTCAAATTTAGTGATAACATTGTAAATGCAAACTTGCAATTCTACTATGCATTCTGTTTTATTGCTCAGTCTAAACTTCAAACATGGATAATTGAGAACGTTATCCATGTACCCGGCTGCACTGTTCACTTTTGGATATTGTGACTCGGTCAGTATTCTGCAGTCTATATTTAGTCACGATTATGAGAATATATAATGTGCATTTCAGATTAAGCATTCAGTTCTAGAAAGGATTGTACCCCAGTTGAAACAATTATCAGAACAGATTATAAAGTACTAAAGAGTCCCTGTAAATTTAGCAAAATATCTATAATCTCCCCATAAATATGTATAAAATGCTTTGTGTTATTCTTCAAGGAGCACAGGCTCTGTAGTTCGTCTCTCCAAGGTTGAGTTTTTCTTTCAAGTCTACTGCAGAAGTGACCCTGATGGCCTCCTGAACACTTGACCTGCACTGCCGTGCAACGGCTGGGAGTTCGTCGCTCGTTGCTGGCGAGGGTTCCGGCGCATCTTATCGGGCACCATTGGCCGGCTTTCCGGTCAGACTCGGCGAAACACCTCGAACAGAGAGGCCACGGAGTGCATGCGGTAGAAGAGGTTGAGAGGAATGGCAAAATTGAGAACACTGGTCCACCTGCCGAAGCCAAACGTCTCCTCTTCCAGGCCGTTGTCGTACTGCGGCCTGCAGCCGAAGGCAGGAAGGATCCACAGCTGAAAGAAGAAAAGAAATTGGTTTTTGAAAAAAAGCAAAATTTAAAAAATGAAACAAGGGGAAACTTGACTCACTGTTGCAGGAATGATACGTTACGCTCATTATTTCAGGAGTCATATGTCCGTCTGGTTTGAATAGAAACCCTTTCACATTTTGTCAGCAGAGCTTCAAATTTCAATGTTTCAATATTTCGTTATCGAAACACAAAGAAGTTTTTCATTGGAAAGTAGAAAAAAGTGACAGATCACTTTCAAAGTTTAAAACAAATAAAACTCAATCAATGTTGGCTGTGCACACGTGCTCAGCCCCATCTACTTTGATACTCCTAAGTAAAATCCAGTACAACCCCTTGGTTTCTGAACCAACCTAATCAGTGAACGCATCTCGCCTATGCAGCGTCTCTAAGGGCTTCCGAGGTTGGCTGGAGAACAGTAGTTAACAAACACCATCATAAAAACAAAGGAACACAGGACGCGTCAGAGAGAAAGTTGTGGAGGATCTCAAAAAGAGATTGATCTATTTGCGAGAAAAAAAACCCCATGGGAAAACATCTTTTCTACATCTGCAAATCATAGCTGTAGTAAACCACCTTTCAGTGCAAAGTATGGACTCAGCAGACAAAATACACAACACACGTTTCAAAGTTGCATGTAAAAAAAAAAAAAAAAAGAGTGAATTTAGTGTAAACTTTTTCATCCATTTCACATTTGAAATGCATTGTTTGTGGTTGTAGCATAACAAAATGCTACAACCATTTGCTTTGTGAGCACTTTTGAAAAGTATGATACTCAAATAGTTGCTTACTTCACCAGAGCATAAGTAACGCTGGAGGGAATGCTATGTACTCATAATATCTTGTATAAATTTAGGACTTTCCAGTTGCAAAGTTTCTAAAAGTTTTTTTTTTAAGTATGAGACTGAACCAAGACAGTAATAGGCAACATAATATTATTTTTTAAATGGAGGGAGACAGTGATGTAGTGTGAAAACACTAGTTCCAGTTTCTTAATTCATTGTAAAAACCAGAAACAAGCGTCACAAATTTTAGGCAGTAGATTATTACTTTGACTCAAAAGTTTGAGTTACTTTACAAGCCAGGTTGTGAATCCCGTTTACATGGTGTGTGGAAAAACTTACCGAAATATTGCAGAATAACAGTAAAACAGCAATGTTCTTCAGGACGAGCCTCTTCATATTTAAGGTTTCCGCAACGTGAGTGTCAACGGGCAGCGGCACATTCGACTGCTTCCGCGGACATCCGTACACCTGTCCGTTCTCCTCCTGCTCGTTCTCCGCGGAACCGGAGCCCCCACTTGGAGACTCGTATGCCTGGTTGTCGATCCCGTTTAAGGGAGGCAGAGGCGAAGTCACCGAGAAAACCTCCGGATTGGCGGGCAACTCTGGGTCCGTCCTCTCTACGCTCTCCTGCTGGCGATAAAGGGACTCGATGATGAAGAGGTTCTGGACGTACTTCTCCAGAATAATTAGGAGGGAGTAGACTAGGTTGGTCCAGCGGTGAGGAGGGTCACTCTTGCTGCTCAGCACTGACACAATGCTGCACCAGGACATCAACCAGGAGCCCAGGGCCGACCCGAACAGCAGCTCTGTGTCCAGCTGTCTTGAAGGGTTCTTTGATGTGTCAAGAGGCATGTGGTTTGCGCGGTAGATGAGCAAACCCAGAGCGCCGGAAGAACACATGACCACCATTATGACGATGCCGTAAATGTAGAACATAGAAATGGCTGACTGGTGAACTTCCGGAGGGCCTTGTAACCGTGTGATGTAGACCACCAGTATTCCTATAGTGCTGACCAGTGCGAGGAGGCCTACAATGGGGCCTAAAGTCAATCCCTGTGTTTTGGTGACCAGACTCTTTCTGTTTGAGGATATGTCAATGGTGCGTCCGATGTTTTTCCACATGACGAAAAGCAGCACGGAGACAAAGATGTGGTACTCGATGTTGAACGGGAAGAGGTACGTGAAGCTCTGGGAGAACAGGGAGCATGTGCTGGTTGTGCAGTTGCAGTGCATCTCCAGCTCCAGCTCCAGCTCCCGCTCCCCTGGAAAACAGGTAAAACAAGAATGCGTACAAAGACATGAGAGGCAAAATGCAAGTTACACAACAAGATATCATTGTTGTGCCAACCATTATTGAAACACACCCTTCTATTGAGACCTAACAATGGAAGAAACTGCAAGGTTTAAAACGTGACGGAAGTACTGTAAGTAGGGAAGGGCAGAAAGAATTAGTAAATAGATAACAATGACATGATGAAATCTAAAACAAAGGAGACTTGTTAAATTAAATAACACAGTAAGTGTGCAGAAGTAATTAAGTAATATTACCACACTTACCATAACATTGCAATATTAACCCGATGAATCCAGAGAAACCCATCTGAACAGAATTTTTGTAATTAAATAAGATTCCAACAAACTCAATAGGCCTAAATATAATATTGGATTAACAAATATGCAGCAACTGTTGCTATTTTGATGTGCAGATTAAATTAAACTCATTTGTAACATCTTTAAACGTGTGACGTTCTCCATCATCTTTACACGACAGGGACATTAATAAACCCAATAAGAGTTCGTTTCTGCCAGGCCAGCAGGGATTCCTTACTGCTTCCAAAGTTTGCTTAAATCAGACCAGCTTGTAAAAAATACCAAGAACATGGTGTAAAATATTAGACCAGTCAAACCAGTTGAATCAGTATTTAATAATCTCTTTTTACGGACGAAACTAGTGCGTAATCGGCATTATTTCAGCAGGCTTCAACTTGCCAAAATTTAAATTTGCTTAGTAAATCCTTCTAAGCCACAGCAATACTTCTTAGAAACAAACACATATGGATTAAACACTGGATTAGCTCCACCTCTAGCAACAGAACAAAACTTGTTTAGTATTGGTATTCTTATGAAGTCATACAAGGTGTATATTAGTTAAAATGAGCAAATTTGTACATTTAAGTCAGGGTTCTTTGCTGTAAAACAACTGGTAAAATGATATATTTACATAGTGTGAAAAGACATTTTCCTCTTTGGCATTAAATCAGTTTTTTAAATATATTTTAGATTAGTCAGGATGAGCACAATTATTGCAAAATGACAGAACAATAACATAAGAGGATTTTTTCCCCCACTAATTTCAGAAGTTACCTGTTCATCTTTCTTTAAGCAGTTTTTAAAAAGTTCAGATGAAACAGCTTCATAAAGTTCTGATTCAAGTCAAATAGTGCATTGGTACTGTAGGAGCTATTTCTCCATTTTTTTTGTTAAAGTTTAGAATGTAGATTTAGTTTATTTTTATTTGTTTATTTTCTAGTTGATTTATAATTAGAATGTTTATTTTGTTGTTTCTAAATAAGTTTTGTGGTTAGTAATTAACTTAATTAGTTAATTGATTTCAGTTTGGGAAGTGGGTGTGTTTCACAGTATAAATATGTAGGGTTTAAATAAGTCTTGAGTCACATGGGTGGTCTTATGGTTTTTTACCTGTCGTCTGTCAGTCAGTTTTTATCAGTGAGAACAGGTGGAGGAGTTAGGGCAGGTTTATCCAAAGCCTGTAACTTGTTTTTAACCCAAAAAACTGAATAAAGTAAACAAAGAGCTGCATTTTGACGCATTGTGGGTTCTGGTTAGACTGCGTAAACCAGAACCCACAATGCACAGTATTGACTATTTGAGTTTATTTTATTTTGCTTTGATCATTTTTTGAGATTTGAGTTTTTTCGATTTTGGAATTTAGTTTTCGGACAATTAGTCAATACAGGCGCACTTTAAGGCAACACCTCAAAAACACGACTTTCTGCGTCCTTTTGTAGGAGGTTGTAAAAATCTGAAGGCGTTTCTTTTTATGAGACATTTTCATGGGATGTAAGACTTTTGGCCATAAAGAGCGTCGATGCCTTTGGAGGAAAAGTGGAAGCTTGCAAATCTCTGAACTTCATCCCAAATGTGAAGCAAGGAGGTGGCAGCATCATGTTGTGGGACTCTTGATGAATTTGTTCCCTTCATAAAATAGATGGCATCAAAAACATGATGTGGAAATATTGAAGCAACATTTCAAGACATCAGCCACACGCAATGTTTTGGAGCGATCGTCACAAAGCTCTCATCTCAGTACCAAAATATTTGACCAAAGTCTACAATTTAATTTTAATAATGCAAAGAAATGCATGTGAACGTTTTTTTTTTTTTTTCTGGCTTTCTCTTGTTCCCCCAATTTTCTGATTTTATGATTTCACACCTGCAATTACTTTATATATTGCAGGTCTTTTCAATTTCAACAAGTATTTTTTTATGCCATATTTCAACTTTTCTCTGGAAGTGAAGTCATTATTAGGTTTATAATATTAAGTCATTTTTCTAACAGCAGTAAATCCAAAACCTTCACCTGGACTGTTTTTGTTGCTTTTCCGTGGTCAGTCATAGCAGGTAATATTTTATTGATTTGAAATTTTTCCCCGTTAGCTGAACGCACCTGCAGTTGAATGTATGTTTTATACTTACCCACTGCGTGTAAAGCCCACTGTGGTTATTGGTTGCCCCCAGGGGCACACCTTAACAAAACCCTGCCGTGTGCCCCAGCCCCCCCGCCCCCTGCAGCCCATGGGAGGCCACCACCATGGAGCTGCACCTTTTAATTAAAAGGGGAACAGTCAGGGTGCAGCCACCCTCACAGCCAGCCGGATATGAGGAGGAGCAACTGAACCCCCCAACCCCAGGCTTAGATGTATCAGTTACTGTAATTGCAGCACCCTTGGGACTAAGCAGCCCTGGGATAAAGATGCCTAGGGTCAAGTGGGGGGTTGCCAAAGTGGGCAGCGGTGTCTAGAGTGTGCGGAAAGGGCCAGGAAGGGGGCAGCCAGGACCAGCAAATCTGTGCTCCACTGTGAAACCTAATAGAGAGATGTCCGACACAAACAAGACCTACTGGGAGGCTGAGCTTGCCTCCCTTCCCCTCTCAGACCCTCCTCTATTTTAGTTTTCTTTCATCCATTGAAGCGAGCTCTCAAGTGGACAAGTATACTTTTCTTCTGAGGTACAAGGCAGCAATCGACCCTCTGGCCCTTACCTTCGGTGATATTTTCAAATTCCAGGCCGGCGGTTCTTCTGAAGTGGTTCTTCATAAAATGCTCGGTCTCCGACATCACGCCGTTGCACCACAGGAGGAGGTTGGTGAAGACGGCGTGAATCACTCCAAACCTGAGGACACAAATATATCATACTCGTCTAACAGTGTCTGGAAATAGTTGGCATCTTACACTGCGAGGTTCAGTAATTCTTTTTAGATACATGATACGGCAAAAAAAAAAAAAAAAAAAGTATTTTTTAGACACACGGTACAAAAAGTCAGAAAGGTGGGATGTGCGCTTCCATTCTTTGACCATGACTCTTAAATCATAAAACGCTAAAGTTCAAATACCTTTCAAATGTCTCAAAGCTCTTGATCACGTCCTTGATGTGAAACCAGAGAAAATGTACCTAAAAAGTTGGAAAAAAAGAGAGAAGAAGAAAAAAACCCAACAAAAGTAAACGTCTTGAAAGGCTTGTAGAAACAAAATCAAAATGAGTTCACAGTTCCAGCATTTGGCACAAATACCATTGTTGTATGTTCAAAAATGGTTACTAATCTTAAATTGAGTGTTTAAGTCTCTTTAAAACACAAATTGTCTTTGCCGTATGAGGTTATTCTCAAATAACATGGAAAAGGAGAGGATTACAGTGTTTATGCAACAAAGGGCACTTCTTTATCCAGGGTTCTTTGGTGGCACACAGATAATAAGGACTGAGCTGGTAAAATGCAGACAAAACATTATCACGTTCCTGATATTAAAGCAGGTTTGTAAACTTACCTGCGCTACGGTGTGAACTGCGTGCACGACAGGATAGACTACGTGCACTGCCGACAAGCACAGCCGATATCCGACGTAGTATCCGATTTTCAAGGCGTCCATGATCAATGAGAGGACAGCGAGAAGAGTTAAACCACCTACCAAGGGGAAAAAAAAGAAACAAATTCCACCATGTTTGTCATTTACAGTGACTTGGGGAAAAAACAGCCATCAGCATGAAACGGTTCAGTGTCTCCTGGAAGCTGATTTGACAGAAAGCAGCACAAACTTTTTTTTGTTTGTTTGTTTGTTTTGGTTCAAAGTGAGGCATGAAATTATGTTATTCATGTTAGCCATCTACTGTTGACAGCTTCCTCGCAGCATGATGGTGTCGTCACCATGGGGGGATGATGTGATCAAGGTTGATATAAGAAAAGAAAAATAAATAGAATTTCATATATATATATATATATATATATATATATATATATAGATATATATATATATCTATATATATATACATATATATTTTTTTTTTTTTTTTTTTTTTTTAACTTAGAGGTTTCTAGTCCTTAAGACACTCAAGCAATTTCAACACAGGTCTATGCTGTTTACTATTATCATGTGACTTGTTGAGGTTGTCTAGGATCTTATGTAGGGGGTGTTGCAGTGAAGGTTGGTGAATATGCAGGCCACACGCTCCAGATTTTTGTTTGCAGTTCTGTCACACAAAACCACAACAAAATGCATCGAAATCTGTTATTGCAACCAGACAAAATGTGGGGAAAAAGAGTTAATATAGGCTATCCATGAATATCCACAGCAACTGGTGTTATGCGCCTGTTTGCCTCCTCTACCAGGCTCACCTCTTATCCAGCATGTCGTGGCATTGACGTCCCTCTCGGGTCGTGCGTTCCACTGGCTGTGCCGCACCAGGATGTACCACATCATCCAGATCAGCTGCAGCATCATGAGGCTGGTGGTGAAGGACAGCAGGTCCTTCTCCTCGACGGAGGCGTGTTGGTGCGCGATGGCCAGCATCAGCGCCACCCCGACCAGCAGCAGGTTTATCCCATACTGAGCGCTGAGCAGCTCCGCGTTCTTCCTCGGGTAGTCCCCCGACAGACTGAGCTTGAGCTTGGCGAAGACATTCCTGTCCCGGATGGAGCCGGAGGACGACGAGGAAGAGGAGCTCTGGCTGTACTTGTTCAGGGACATGATGTTCGGGCCGCCGTGTCCCGCCACTTGGGTTAATGTGCAAACAAAACAAACAAAAAACGCTGCAACTTTGCGAGGGGGGGGGAAATCTTTGGTGCGCTATAAGTGCATCAGAGGGGAGGCCAGGTGCGCAACGCGTTTCCGCAGGGCGCTGACTCAGACGGATGCAAAAGAGTGCCAAGCAATGAACTCGATCTTCGAGGTCCGGCTCAGTGGTTGCGCACAAGCTCCAGTGTCCAGCCTCGTCCGGGATTGACTTGATAGATGCCAGTGTCGCCGCCGTGGGCCGAACCCCGAAACGCAAATATCTGCGCTTCTCATAAGCCCGCTGAGTCACATCAAATGAGGGTTTCAATTACGTTCATAGGTGATCCCAGGCGTCCGCCTTGTGGAAACACCCACGTGTTTCCAAGAAGCTGGTTGATCTCCCTGTGACGGCCACGCCAGCTATTCATGGCCTCAGAAAAGCTCAGACCTGAAGCCTGGAGTTCATCCACACAGCAGAAAAAAACAAGTTTCGCCCAAATCCCGCGCTTCGGTCCAACTGGCGGACAACTTCTGGCTGGCAGCCGCGCAGGGGTTGAGCCGAAAGACAAGACGACCAGCTCACACTCCGTCTACTTAGAGTGGATGATACCTTCTAGAGGCAGAGCACCGATGTCAGTTGATGAAAAACAAACAACAACAATAAACATCTATTGTATAATACTCAATGGCTTGTTGTGCAGTCTGGGAGATTTAATGGACGGTCGAAACGCAGACCGGTTAAAAGCGGAGGCGTCTGCGCGTAATTTGCGTATCAAAGGTGAGACTGTCCAGAAGAAAAAAACAAAAACAAAACAAAAAAATACCGAGAGGAGGTCAAATGGGTGAAAGATGGGATTATGAGAAATCTTGTCAATATAAACGCATGCCTTTGCAGAAACCTGCTGCTTGCGTACCCATAAATAAAACGGGACCTGGATGGTGGGAGTTTTTATTATTACTTACAAAAAAAGAAAATATTAAATTCTTGGTTTAGTTGTTACTTAACTTCAGTAACAACTTATTCTTTTTTTATTTTATTATTCAAATGCATAAAATGTGTTGCTCATATTTTCTCATGATACATTTAAGGCAAAAATGACAATTTAAAAAAACTTATCAATTATATCACATAAATAAATGATGAACTCGGACGATGATCAGCTTTCATATTGAAAAAAAGACAAGCTGCTAATCTCGAGCACACACACAAAAAAAACAAATTTCCCTCTGCAAAAGAAGTAAATTAATACCTGGAAATGCTATATCTAAAAAAAGAATAATTTTATTATGAATGTAAGTTGAGAAACTTTCAGAATATTTTATTTCACATCAAAAAAGAGAATTTATCACGTGTCGTAAGTTTTTTTGTGTGTGTTTTGCAGTTTTGATAAACGTTAGTATAAATATGCTCCATTTATGCAAAAAAAAAAAAGAAAAAAGAAAATAAAGTAGGCTCAAAATGAAACACAAAAATTGAGGTTATCCTGAACTGAGACAAAATTATACAAACGAAGCGGCTCCCCGGAGGTACGTGGGGAAAAATATATAGCCTATAATAATAATAATAATGAAAGACGACTTTACGTTTCTGGGCCCCGCTGACACGTGATTGGTTACCAACGAGACGCAGACGACAACCTCGGCGCTGATCTATCGCAAGTGATGACGTCATCGTTCCAGCTCCCGTCTTAAAACAGACACTGCACCGGGACGTCCTAAATGAACAGCAGAAGATTTCCCAAGATTTGTTTCCCGGTGACACTTTCCCAAGAAAAAAAAAAAAAAAAAAAAAAAAAACTTCAGTGGGATTAACTTTGTGTTACCGCTGCAGATTACAGTCATCCGCCGGAGTATTGACTTGATCACCGATGATCAACATGACGACAGAGATAAGAGCCGTTCCTTGTGCAGAGGGACAGATTGAGTTGGAAACACTGATTGAATTTTTTTGGGGCACTTTAGGCCAATAAAAAAAAAAAAAAAACTCGGTGACATTTAAGACTGAAGCATATTGAATGTTTAGTGGTCCAGTCAAAGCCCAACTCCAACCAAGCATCTTCTGTGCAAAGATTTGGCACCTGACATACATCCAATCTACCTGGACTATCCTAAAAATTTGAATTAGAAAAAAAAAAAGCATCTGTAAAACTCAGACAAATCTGGTTTTGACCCAAAATTTTATGTTTTTGCAAGGGCCTTTGATCTGAACAAATATGTTTCAGTGTTCCTACATCAGGGGTGTTAAATCAATATTAATTCTGGGCCACATCAAGGTAATAAACAGCCTCTACTGGCCAGTTGTGGCAGAATGTAAAACTATCCATTAAGCAGTTGGATTGCTTTTGCTTTCTCTGCATTTTTAAAACTAAATATTACACATCTTGTCACATTGACATAGTTTGGTACTGTACAAATAAGAACTAATTTGACTGGACTAATAAATCAATATTTATGCTATAGCTATTACCTTAGATTTCTACTTATGTGGCCATCTGGATTCTAGCTGAGGCAGGCCGGAGTTTGCTTTTCCCTGTGGGTCTTGCATTTGACATGTGCTCTACATTAATCTTTTTGAGGGAGATCCTATTTTTTTTTTTTTTTAAACTTATTTAGGCAAATTGTTTTTGTTGCAGGAATGGAGATAAGAGCTATTATGATAAGCCACCAGGACCTCATTATCCTCCGGTGCCGACCGCCTCCCCGCCCTCCTCCTTCTCCAGGAGTGTACAAAAGTGCAAAGTGTCAAGTGCTTGAAGGCACAGCCAAGAGAAAATGGGCCAAAACGCACCAACCTGTCGGTCTCTGAAATTTTGTTGACTGGCCAGAATAGGTCTCAAACGATGCCGAATGAAATGGCGTCCTGTGTTTGGAAATGAAAACCACACTCAACCGAAACTGTAAAAGAAATGGATGACGGTGTTTCTGCAAGCAAAATTGCCCTTCAAAAAAAAAATCTGAATGGAAATTATTGAGCTCTTCTTAATTATCAATCAATTCATTTCTTATTGCGACAGGCTTAGCTGAGACCCAAAAATCACTTTGTAGATGACAGAAATGTTTTGTTTGAGAATATCATGCATCCCAAAGGAATCAGGTTCACTTATCACATTTAAATGTATTGTAAATTAAAATTGAGTCAGGTTTGCACATTCTTTGAAAATGGTTAGAAGAGTTTATTTCAAAAAACATAAAAAGAGTAGAAAACACAAAGCATAAGCAGATGTCTTAACTTAAAACCAGACACATTGATAAAATCTCAAGTACTTGGACATTTTGCATGTTCACAATACCTCTGCAGGTGTGTGTTGCAAACACAAAAAGCAGAGGGATACAAAAGAAGGTCACAATAACAATGCCACTTTAAAATGGTGAGTTTGGATCAGCCTTTTGTCTGTAGATAAACTGAGTTAGTGAGAGATTTAGAGAAGCGGAGAACCCTGGGGAGAACGCCTGGCTTTTCTCATTTCTGGTGTTTTGGCCTAAAAAAGACAGAACAGAGAGGATGGCATCACATTTAGCAGGTGAAGAAGGTTCACAATAATAACGCAAAAAAAAAAAAACATAAAATAAAAAATAAAAATTAACAATTGTCCCATGTCTATGACCCTTTGTCTGCACTGATGCCTGGGGCTCATACGCCAAAGACTGGCTTTGTACATGTTTGGCACCAAACAACAAAAGTGTGTGTGATTTTCAAGAAGCAAGCTGGTCTTCAACTTAACATCAAGGTAAAATTGCAAAGAAAAGCTTTCTTTTTTAATATAAAACCTTTTCTGTAATGCTTGATATCTTCAACAAATTAATGACAATATTATTACAATAAGCAAAAACGAAAACAAAGTCAAAAATGACCAAAATGCTTCATCATTCCCACCTTTCATCGTTCATCCAAGCAAAGAGATTAACATGACGACGCCCATGAACTGTGTGAAGAGGATTAGTGGAGTGAAGAAAGACCACACTGGCCACAGTGCAATATTAAAGCTGCAAGATAAAACAAAACAAAACAACACATTTAATCAAACTTAACAGATCTGTCACTGAGTGAGCTTTGTACAGGCTGTCATTGCAGAGCATGTAGAGATTAGTGCTTGGAGTAACTTAACGGGGGCGTTCAGAGGACTGCAGGGAGCGCTGGCAGCGATTTTTAAAAAGGGGGGTTGCTGAGATTCGTTTGGGGGGCGTTTGCTCGACTTTACAAATTAAATGAATGCAAGTTTTTTAGAGCAACTTGCTAAAACAGTGTTGTGCAACAATAAAACATGCTGTAACTGTATTGATTGTAGCTTTTGTTCTCTTCAGCGTTTCTGTTAGCTTCTTGATGCAGCTCCGTTTTCCTGCTTCTGGTGGCTTCACTGCGTCTGTTCAGCGTCACACTGGTTGGTGTTGTTGCTGTGACTCACTTGTCAGGTCACGTGTCTGATTTTTAAATATTTTATGTTTTATTGAGAATTTTGTACATATGGTTTGGCAGTGCTGTGATTGTGTCAAAGCAGCAACTTATATTGAAAAGTGAAAGTGTTTTGATGTCAATCTGACTGCTGCTCTGTGTTCATTTTGTAGAATTAACATCAGTGCTGTAAATAATATGAGATGGTAGAACAGCACTTTTGAATTTTAATCATCGAAGTATGGGGATTTTTTTCCGTTGTTTTAAAAGGTTTGCAACGAACTAACCAGATGTGAATCAGACAATCTGGCGGTGAATAGTGACAAATCAAGATGAGTGTCAAATCAGGTGAAACACATGATGATTAAGCGGCGCAGCAGGTGAATAGCATGATGAACGTCAATACAAACGATAAAATAAAACTAGAAACAGGAAAGAAACTGAAGAAGACATAAAATTAAAACCAAGAAAGGATAATACTAATTAAAGGAAAATAAATGGAGAACAAAATGCAAGAACAAACTAAGAAACTAAAGTAAATACAGAGGAATAAACCTGTATGGCAAGACCTTTTGAGCAATAATTAATACAGAGGACTGTATGGCAAGAACAAAGAGATACCGTTTTCAGATGAAAGATAAAATAATATTGCTGAAGTGCATTGGGCAAGGTAAATGCCATGTGGGTGAAATTTTTTAGCTGATACTATAATGTTCCATTCTCCTGAAGGCAGCATGGAAGCATGGAATAAATGGAAGGCAGTCATACCAATATATAAACATATATTGGTATGACTGGGCAGGGAAATCTTTTGTAATACAATTTTTTTTATTTCCTCCTACTAAAAA